CTGAGGGGCGCTCGACTTATGTATACTCTTTTGATCTCAAAGATCTTCATATATTAAATATAATATATATATAAGCGTATATATGTATATATTATAGGAACACACCTACATTGCTTAGACAACAGTGAGTGCTTGTAATTTAATATGAACTTTATACCATAGCAATAAAGCTCAAATTAACTACGTTTTGGTTACAAATCATTTGTATGGGAAAAAGAAAAGGGCTATTTTTAGGGTTTTTTTCAGCAATAATTCTAATTTTTTTTGGTCCAGGCGTTGTTGAGTTATGCGCTTAACAACACATTATGCGATTCATTTTCATATTATAGATTATACATATTTACTAATGATTGTTCCACAGCAACAAAACAGTTCGTTGGGCCCAAGATCTTGTTGTATGTTATTTTAAGTGGTACTTTTAAATTATTAAAAAATGTATACCCTTGGGGTACAATTAAAATTGACAGTCTTGCGATAGGCTTTTTTTAAATTTAAAATAAATGAACTCGAATTTTCTAGAATTTAATTTATAATTGAACTGGAGTAAAATGATTAAAAAACAAGAAGGAAGCTAGCTTCGGCAACCCGAAGCTTATATACCCTTGCAGTCATCAAATATGTCGATCAAAATGCAAAAGGGCTAAACAACATTAAAACAAGGCGTTTTTGCATATTTCACAGCCTTATAACAACATATTGGGAAAATATTTTTTCACCGTTATAAGCGTTCATGCAAGTTCAATATCTATTAATTAAAATGTATTAAGCAAATATACCATTAGGCTTTTATCACAATGCTTTAAAATTTTTTTCTCCTAGCTCTATACTCTGGGCGACTACGTATGGAACTTGTTACGCGAGGATACCTCTGAAAAAGCCAAAAAAATCAGAAAAAAATTTCACTTTAAAAAAAAAAATAATAGTTTATTGGAAGTAAAAAAAAAATAATATTTTGTGTTAATTATTTTCATAATAATAATTTCATACATTTTTCCATGAAAAAAGAAATCGTATCACTTAAAAGGTGCGATAAATATTTTTGTGCATAATTTATGCACCTTAACCGAAAACAATCAAAAAAGTAACTTAAACAAAGATTTTGTTAAATTTTGTCGCACAGTGTAATCTGTCTGCGAGATTCCGCAGCAGTTTTCCGTGTGCGAAATAAAATTTCAAAATGGCCCGAATTTCTGCGTTTCCATTTCAATCGATTGTAATTTTCTAACGTGGAAGCTCATGTGAACTATATGAAAGGTATTGGCATCACCTTTAATATGACATAAAGGTGATGCCAATACCTTTCAAACGTATCTGGCAATGCTAGATACGATTATATTTGACTTTACAAGCGAAGCGCAAAATTTGATTGTAAAAACCGGTATGTCATTACCAAACAACCTAATATATATTATCTTTCCTATGCCAGCTAGCTGAAATAGTTATCCGATTTTGATCAAATTTAATTCGCAATTCGATAGTATGTAGTTAAAAATGCCATCTGGAAGAAATCAAGTCGATATGATCAAAATCAACGGCATAATATTTTTTTTTCAATCTCTCGATAACTACACAACTTTTGGTAAAGTTTCAGCAAGATAGTTTACCACTTAACACCTAAAAGCCGAAGATCTTTAGTATTAGTTTTCCCGCGGCCACGTTCACGTCCCTACTGCTGATGGAACCTCTGCTAGCCGATTACCACCCTCTGCAGCGTTTGACCGACGTGCGTCTACGGCACCTGCAACACCTGTTGGCGTTCGCACCTCGGCGGTGGTGACGGCGATTGTGGCGGAGATCCGGGTGGTTGCGTTGGTGGTTTCGGTGACCGTGTTTACGGCTGCTTTGCTGACCGTTGGCGACCAGACTTCGATACGAGGTATATCGGTGCCCCACAACGGCAGCGCGGAGTCAAGGAAGCATGGAAGAAACATCCGTCTTTGGACTTAATGGGGCCATGTCCAAGGGAAAGAAACGGGGCGGAATCGAAATCTGGAAGCCGTGGTAAGCCGCGGGCGAAAGGTCGAACGTTAGAGGTCGGACCTTAGGCCCAGAGAGAAGGAAATACCGAGGAAAACGGGACTAAGAGGCCTTTATAAGCAGGGACTTCAGAAGGGATCAATAAGCAATGAGTAGAACAATCAGAGCAAACAGTTAAACTATTGGACCAGCAACAAGGAAACACTCCACGTCAGGATACGCAAGTCTATAAGCAAGATCAAGAAATTCAAACCTTAGTTAAAAAGTCACCGAGTTGAGACTCAGTTAGCTGAGGTCCTGCAGCCAATCCGCGGCCAACTTTGTCCTTGTTCCATTGGAACAGTCGTTTTCCCGGCACGGTGAAACGACGTATATTATCTGATATCAGTCTCCGGTGGTTTCTGACAGCGCACGTCCTTGATCATCATTCTCTTTATTTCTTGTACTTCCGAACTTGTAAGTACGCTCTTGCAGTACATTGACTCTTGGCAGAGTGGTAAGAATCAGTAATAATTATATTGTCCGTAAAAATAAAAACTGCCGTAAGTTAAATGAGTCTAAGCAGGCTAAAGGAACTTGTTGGCATTATGACAAGTACGGACAAGTGACGATCCCAGTAGTGGCCTTGGTTTACAGTTTTGTTGTGAAGCTTGATACGAAGTTGCGAACAAGAGGAAATCGTCGAAGCGCCAAGACAAAGGCGGCTTAAAGGTACTGATCACTAGTTTTGGCACAGCTAGAAATAGTTTTGTAAAGATGAAAAAATCTTTTTTCAGCTCTGGTCTCGCACCTTAATAGCTTTGAGCTAAAGCAAAGCAAAACGACTGCTGGTGGAAGGTCTGAAGGTAAAAACCCGCTACTTCAAAGTAACCAACAGAACTCAAAAGTCGCTAGAATCGACAATCTTCTGCTGCTTCTCTTGCTTAGCACGTTCCACGAAGAAAATGGCGGCCGTTTATTCCTTTCCAAAGCTCAGCTCGGTGAGGGACACATCATCCAAGATGATGTTAAAGTCACGGGCACGCTCCACCAACTCTTTGCGGATCAACAGGGGGACCTGCTGACGCTGGGTAATCAGCTGCGAGGCGTTGAACTTGGCAATCACACTCTTCAGCACCTCGTTACAGATCGAGGGCAGCACCTTCTCGTCGTAGTCCACTCCCAGTTGTTTGTGCAGGTAGGGCAGGTTCAAGGAATCGGGGCTAAACAGCACTCGAAGCGAAATGTTGATCATCTGCAGATCCTTGGAGCTAGTGGGCGAGGATATTTTGCGGGGACGCGAGCGAATGTCATAGATGATGGGGTACTGGAACCAGGGAATGCGCACATGCAGACCCTTGGAGTAAATATCGCTCTGGATTCCGAGACGGCTAAAGATGATGGAGCGGTAACCACCCTCAACGGTGTACAAGGACTGGCTAACACCATAGGCAGCAGCTCCCACCGCAGTCATATGTATTAAACTGGCTATCTCTGAAATGATCTTTTTAACTTCCTCACACATACCTTTTACGTCCGATCTTACAAACTATTTAAGACACCTATCCACCATCGGTTCTTTGTCCGAAAAGGTTCAGTTAGTATTTCTTGGTGATTGGTACTTCAAATACCTTTATGTCAGGCAAACCAAGTTTGGAACTCAAAGCATCGATTACTTAACTTGTCTCATTTTACCAAATAAATTAGTTCTCGGTCGAACTTCTTTTTTATCTTGCTCCTTTTCGCCTTCATTCTCGTTTAACTCTTTGACCCTTTCTTGACAATATTTGGATCTTGGATCTTAAGTTATCCCAGCACAGGTCACTACGGGTGAGGTTTATCAATGATCTTCCGTTATTCATTGCGCATTCTCGCGTATGTTGAATTGTATATGCAATATAATGAATATTCCCGCCATTCCGAAGATTATATACCCTTGCAGTCATCAAATATCTCGGTCAAAATTCATAAAGGCTAAACAACATCGAAGCATATTTTCGACTATTGTTCTTATGGCAGCTATGTGATATAGTTGTCCGATTTTGATAAAATTTAATTCGTAATTCAAGAGTTGGTAAAAAACTTTATTTGCCTAAAATCGTGCTTGTCTGATAAAAAACAACGATGTTTTATTCTATTTTTCTATCTTTCATATGGCAGCTGTATGATAACGTTGTCGGATTCTATTGAAATTATTTTCTCGATTCAAGGGTTATTAAAAAGCTTTATATTTTAAAATTCATGCTCATGGGATTAATAACAACGACGTTATAATTTTTTCCATTATTTATATGTAATATATAGGTATATTTTTTTCGATCGTTCCTATGGCAGCTATACCTATGATAGAGTTAGCCAATTTTGATAAAATTTAATCCGAAATGCAATAATAGATAGGAAACGCCATCTGGAAGAAATCAAGTCGATCTGATCAAAAACAACAGCGGGAAAATTTTTATTTCATTCTCTCGTATGGGAGCTATGCGATCAGGCCCGTTCCGACTTATATAATGTGTGCAATAACTACACAACTTTTGGTAAAGTTTCAGCAGATAACTTTAAAACTGAGAGACTAGTTTGAAGAGAAACGGGCAGACGGACAGACAGACAGACAGGCGGACAGACGTATTTCGATTCAGATGGTGATGCTGATTAAGAATATTGAATATATACTTTATGGGGTCTGAGGTGTTTCCTTCACTATGTTGCAAACTTCTGACTAACATTATAATACCCTTTTTTTTGCTCTGGATATTTTATTTTCATTCTGTCGTATAGGAGCTATTCGTTATAGTCGCCTGATTAGGCCCGTTCCGAAATATTTACTGCGTGAAATAACAACACAACTTTTATTGAAGTTTCAGCAAGATACTATTCATTTTATGGAAGCTATTCGATGCAGTCCGATTCTATTATTCGTGCTGCGTTGCAAACTCCTGACTGAAACTATAATACCTCGTGCAGGGGTATAAAAATATTGGTTAATTTGATTAAAATGCGTTAAATGTTGGATATTTTAAAAGTTTAAAATAATTTAAACATACCATAGTTAGTGTCATTTTGTCTATTTCTTGCTTGTCCTTTGTTTTATGCTGTCGAAATGGAGAATGACCTTTCAACAGTTTATATAACATGCATCCGAAACTGAACCAATCAGCACAAGAATCATACGACGTTCCTTTAGATAACACTTCTGGCGCCATATATCCGTGGGTTCCGACTGAAGCATGCGGTTTTTTTCTTGAAAAGTCGCAAGCTAATCCCAAATCAGAAATTCTTATATGTCCATTTTCATCAAGCAAAATGTTGGCCGGTTTTAAATCACGGTACACAATGCTTCGTTTATGCATATGTTCTAAGCCCAAAATCACCTAATATTTAAAAATTGTTAGATTAAAATTAGGTATTTTAAAAAATGCTTACCTCAGCTGCATAAAATTTCATTTCGTCTTCTGAGAAAATTCCATGTTGAGATAAATGATAATGAAGGTCACCACCATTCATAAGGTCTAGTATAAAACAGAGCTTATCTGGTGTATGAAAGGCGTATGTCATGCAAACTATAAACGGACAATCAATCTAAAAAAAAGTGTACAATTATAAAACTACGATTGAGTACATGAGAACAACCTTACTCCAGTGCTAACTGCTTGCAACATGTTTCGTTCATTTAATGCCAGCATTTCCCCTTGTTTCATTTTAATTCGTTTTTTGTCTAAACATTTCATAGCATACATTTTTCCTGTGTCTGCTTTCCGACATCCATACACTTCTCCAAACCCCCCTCGTCCAATTATCCTATGTACGCTGAAATCATTCATGGTCAGCTGAAAAAGTTCAATTATAATAATTACTTTATATTTTATGCCAATACAACCATTTTTATGTACCATAATATATGTTAACGATTTAAAAAAGTTGAATGTTGCACACGCCAATTCTTTTTTAAGGTCGTATCTACTTGATACGTTCATTCATCACAAATGTCCAAAATATACATTAATGCTAAACAACACCGAAGCTACAACGAGTTTTCTATTAGTTTTCTATATTTCAGCGATTGTTTCTATGACACTATATGATATAGTTGTCAGATTTTCATACATTTTTATTTTGTTATTAAGGAGTCGTAAGAAAACTCTGTACTCCAATTCATATTTTTTAATATATGAATTCATATATTTTATATAGATTTTTAAATTTTTCCAATGGCAGTTACATGGTTTATAGTAATAGTCAGATTTTTATCAAATTTTTTAAAAATTTATGTCGCAATAATTACGTTGCCCTTCTTTTTTCGATCTCTTCTATGGGAGCTACGGGAGTACTGCAATAACTACACAACTTTAGGTAAATTATCATCGAGATAGCTTTAAAACTGAAAGAAACCTTTATGTAAAGGTTTATAATTTTTTTTATTTCTAAAAGAACAATTTATTGAGAATATTGTGTACAAATTTTGAGTCAATTAGAGTCAAACCAACGGAGTTGCAGCGTTTTAAAAGACCAAATTTGGACGTGTTTGGACGTATAAAAATACTTTAAGTATCGGAAGAGACTTTACCAAAATTTGTGTAATTGATGCACGCAGTATATGATTCGGAACGGGTAGGGTCGGACGACTATACCGGGTAGCTCGCCTCATGATTTTCATCATATCGCCTTGATTTCTTCCAGATGGTATTTTTTAACTATTTCGAATTAAATTTTATCAAAATCTGATAACTATATTATACAGCTGCCATAGGAAAGATCGAAAAAATATATATAAAAATAATGGCAATAATTAAGAACATCGAGTTTTTTAACAATCCTTGAATCGTGAAAAAATTTCATTAGAATCGATTAACTACATCAATGATCGAAAAATCTTATAAAAATAACGGAAACGAACGGGAAAAAAAATAATAACATTGTTGTTTTGAGCAATCGCCGGAAAAATAGAAACTCAATAGAAAAACGTAATAGATTCGATGTTGTTTAGCCTTTATGTATTTTGTTCGACATATTTGATGACTGCAATGGGATATAAGCTTCGACTCGTCAAAGCTAGCATTCTTTCTGACTAATTTTATTTTGTATAAATTCGTTAAACTACTTATCTCTAGACCCACACACGTATCTTTGAAGATGTGCTACACCCTGTTACAGGAGGTCGAATTATTGTTTTGGCCATTTCAAGTGTACAGATATTAGGTTGCTTTTTGCTCTTTAATCAATGCTTTTAAAAGCCCTCTTCCTTTGCGAAGAATTCGGACAGCCACTTTTAGTCAGAGCTCGCAAGTAACAGTCGACCGTTTTTCATCTAGTGCTCTCGGTGCGAGCACAACCGAAAAAGTTCATACTGTCTCGCTCTCGCTCTGAGCAAGAGCCCCTTGCTGTCATCATTTGTGTTTTCTGTTGAGCACTTTTCGTTGAGCTCTTTGCATTTCGGTCTTTCAATGAGCAGTGCGTAAGGAGCAGATCGAGAAACGCTCGCACAATGAGAGTCACCAAAAGACCAAAAGACTGCACTGCACTCCAATACATAAATTAACCAAATCCTTTGTGGTTGGGTTAAAAAAAAGCTAACAACCAATATGCCACCCTTGTAATTAAATAACGCACGAGTAGGTTAAATTAATTAAAGTATGTTTATTTTGGAGTTGCAACCTTTATGTTTTTTCGTTTTTGATATGCGCGGACAATGTATGAGTTGGTGTTTGATCTGAGGCGAGATAAGCCGACAGCGCGGCTTCTTTATACCATCGTTCTCACGAGTAGAGATAACATAGATAACATAGTTAAGAGAAGCTTGAAGAGCGGATTCGAAATATGACTGCAGCGGAACACCTATGCGCACCAAGTTAGGTGCTGGCGGTCTGCTCCGAACATACTCCCCCGTTGGAAGGGATACATTTCCAACTATATGGAATTCGATGAGCAGAACAGTTTGGAGGTGGCATCAACAGGAGGCCCGTAGCTGTACGTAGCTACTCTGACGATGCCCAAGCGGCCATGTTAGAGATGGTATGTGGTCCTCCTTCAAAAATTCGATGCCTCCGATCGCAGTCTTCAGCCAACGAAACTGGCTTTCCTGATGAGAAGTCCTCAGCATTCGAAGATCGCTTTCCTATGGAAGTAACAGTTAAACAATCAGTAGGATCCTGGACAATGACAGGTGAAATAGATCTTTGATTTGGCAGCTTTGTCATCCTTCCAGAAACGATCCAACCAAGCTTGGTGTTCTGAAGAGTTGGCAAGTTGCTATCCAAATGCATTTGCCCCATGGCAATTATTTCGAAAAATAGACCAGCTCCAATTAGCAGGTCAATATGTTGCGATTTATCGAAGTGAGGATCAGCGAGCGAAATATCCTTTGGAATCCTCCATCCTGTTGCATCTATGTCGAAGTGAGGTTGATAGTCAGTGATACTTGGCGTCACAACTGCTGTGAATGAAGCACGATAGCTTGCATGATGCTGAAGGCTTCGGGGTCATATGCAATAATGAATTATGCTTCCTGCGACAATGCCTGCAATGAGATGCCTTGCATTGCTGTAGTTGATGCCCCTTGCGCAAGCAGTTTAGGCAAAGGTGCATCTTCTTTGCTTCTCGAAATCGAAGGTTCGAACTCAAATTCAAAAACCGGGAGCACTTCGGCAAATGATGGTCCCTACCATTGCAAAATAGGCATACCATGGGATTTGAGTTGCTAGCAGAAGCGAAAAGTACATTCGAATAATGTCTATGCAAGTTTTTTCCCACCTGCTGGCCTGGTGTTTGAGTTACCAAGGCTAGATCCAAATTTTCCATCATCCTACACCTCTTCTCCAAAAACGACTCCATGGCAGTCCATGTTGGAGGCTCAGCAATGGGCAAGACCTCTTCCCATTTTTCCAGCGTCCTCTGATCCAGCTTGTGAGCGACGATGTGAATCAAAAGTCCATCCAAAATTTGCTCCGTAGTAGCCAGGGTTCGGATTGCTCGAAGATGAGAATTCAGTGAATCGCTGAGCTCCCGTAGACCCTTGGCAGATCCCTTCTCGACACCCTTCAACCCAAATATAGCCTTTACGTGTGCCTGGAAATGTAAGATTTTATTATCGAATCGATTTAAGAGTAAATTCAAAGCCTTCTGGTAATTTGCATTTGACGGTTCGAGCGAGCGTATGGTTTCCAAAGCCACGCCGCCTAAACTAGACCGCAAATACTGAAGTTTTTCGATATCAGCTAGCTCTTCGTTATTTCCAATGACCGTATTGAAGGTGGCGAAAAAGTCCGGCCAATCTGAGTAGGATCCATAAAAACGAGCTAGCTCCAGAGCTGGTAATCGAGGCTTTCTGGGCCGAAAAGAAAATTCTGCGTTATTCGTCATGTCCAAATATGTTGAATTGGAAGCTGTGGCACCAGCAAATTGCAATTTGCGTTGGGTCGCTAAGCATTGATTTAGCTTAGCCTCCACATCCATGACGACTTCCGAAAACTCCATCCTTGTGTCACCCGTCATCTCGGCAAAGTCCAGCCTCTCCAGAGCTGTCTGGGCAGAATCAAAGGCCAAGTTTTGTGCCTCGATCCATTTCAACCGCGCGAGAATATCGGCTTCATCAAACTGGCTAATATTTTTGTCCACTAAATAATTTTTTAGCGCGTTGGTTTGCCGTAAAATGGATTGAACTTTGGCCCGAAAGAATTCTATTTCACTTGGTCCATTTTGAGGCTGACTTTCGCTCACAGAATTTTGCATTTTAGTTAATCACAAAAAAATAAAAAGCAAAAAGTAATTTCTTATAGAGTTTGCTTTGCACACAACACCCTGTGGTTTAAAGCGCGAAAATTTACAGCACCAAGCGTCACCGAAAGGTTAGGGAACTTTGTTTTGTTGTTGTTATTTGTTCACAGTTTTTGCCCGATTAGCAAAAGCGAAAGAACAGATCGAAATGCACAAAATCAAACGCCCGGCTAAATGCACTTTGTATGCGCGTTTGTGTGTTTATGACCGAATGCCCGCAAACGACGACAAATGGCAAAATGTTTAAGCGAAATTAAAACGAACGAAAACTGAGTTGCAGACTCCGATTTAAACGAAATTTACGTGAACGAATATCACGTCGGGGTCACCAAAATGTTTATGGGGAAGACAACCAATATGCCACCCTTGTAATTAAATAACGCACGAGTAGGTTAAATTAATTAAAGTATGTTTATTTTGGAGTTGCAACCTTTATGTTTTTTCGTTTTTGATATGCGCGGACAATGTATGCGAGATGAGTTGGTGTTTGATCTGAGGCGAGATAAGCCGACAGCGCGGCTTCTTTATACCATCGTTCTCACGAGTAGAGATAACATAGATAACATAGTTAAGAGAAGCTTGAAGAGCGGATTCGAAATATGACTGCAGCGGAACACCTATGCGCACCAAGTTAGGTGCTGGCGGTCGGCTCCGAACAGCTTTATTGAGGTCTAAAAATGAACTAACTTATAACAATGGTAAGACTTAAGAATGAAGACTCGCTGCCACCGCTGCTGCTGCCGTCGCTGCTGCTGTTGGTGCCGCTGTTGGTGCCGCTGCTGCCGCTGTTGCTGTCGTCGCTGCTGCCGATCCCTTGTTGGTGATGGTTGCGCAAGTGTCCCACGATCGATGTTCTGCTGACCCAGGGCACGTGGCGGATATGCTGAGCTTTCTTCCGTTAATATTGGCTGTTAATGATGGTTGCGCAAGTATCCCACGATTAGGGTTCTGCTGACCGATGGCATGTGACGGATGTGTTGCAGACTTTGCGGAATTGGCTAGGTGCATTTCTGGTGTTAATGCACTTAGCCGCATTTCGAGGTCAGCGCTGTTGTTA